ATCTAGAGCCATTTGGTACCTCCAATCAACGCCCCTGAAGAAAATGCCAAGTAGCTGCACCTGATTGAAACCCATGGTGTGGACAGTCTCTCTGATATGACCTGAATCTCAACCAAGCAGCCTTGAAAGCTTCAGCTGGTCCTTGAGAAAAGGAGGCAATTTTCGTTCTGAACTCTTCAGACCTTGCATCATCATAGAAATTATTGAGAAATGTGTTCTTGGTGTCCTCCCAAGTAGTCAAAGAGCCAGGCTCTAGTTGTTTCAGCCAATAGGCTACATCTCCTCCAAGAGAATAAGAAAACAGCTTGCAGAACAGGAAGTCATTGCTAACTCCATTAGCCTTGACACTTGAAGCCAAGTCCTCAAACCTCTCTATGTGATCCATAGGATGCTCATGTGGAAGACCATGGAAAGGGTGTTGTCCTACTAGCTAATAATAAGCAGGCTTCACTTCAAAGTCATTCCTCTGAAAGGCAGGAGGGCGGATTGCAGCTCTATTTGCATAAAACTGATCAGGCCTATTGAAATCTCCAAGAGTCCTCTGTTGAAAACGCCCAGCAGCATTCCCAGCAGCTTGTTGTTGCACATTCTGCGCAACTGGTGGCACAGCTTGTTCCTCAATCACAGCGCCATCATCAGCAAGTCGCTCTCCTTCTTCATTTCGCATGTTGCCCTCTGCATCATACAACAGACCATCTTCACCTTGAATCAGCACCTATGGAGCAACCATCTTAACAGGTTTGTCTGCTTTCCTGTTTGTTCGCTCTAAACGTGCTAGCGTCTGGTTGTCTAAGTCGATCAGCTCCTTTTCCTTGTTGCTTCGAGTAATGCGATTAGGCATGCACCTGAAACAGACAAGAAAATATCAGTAACAAAAATAAAAACTTAGACAAGATTCTAAACTAAAATCTATAGGCAACAATTAAGTCCCCGGCAACGGCGCCAAAATTTGATATGCTCAAATTAACCCTTAGAGCTACTCTCTCAAATTAAGAGATCACTGTAGTACTTAGAGATTGAATCCACAAGGATTTAGATTGTTGCACAATAAATCTCAGGTTCAAATCAAGCTAAGCAAAACTAAATGAAAATAATGCAAGTAATAAAAAGAAAGCAGCAAATCGATTGGGAGGTTTTAAATCAAAGAGAGAAACGCTAGGCCTTGGGAAATTCGCAGGTGAATCCGAATTGCAAATCTAGACAGAATGTTAGGAGTTTATTAAGCACTGTTCTTGAACTTGAAACACTAATATAAAATCAATCAACTTCCGCTGCAGAGATTTTCTATGTCTAAATCCTAGAATCCTAAATTCCTTTGCAAATCCTATTAATTCAAACAAGCATTAAAATCAGGTTCAATTGTTCACAAAATCCTAAACCAAATTCTTTTACAGATAGGAATTTTGCTCATCTAAGATTAGTTCTGGTGATTAACAATGTTTCCACATCTATTAAACAACCTAAGATCAAATTCTAGGTCATGAAGCTAGAATAAGCAATAAACACAAATCAAGATGAAGAACTCTAATGATTTTATCCTAACAATTCAATTCAACCTAGCAATTCATCATCACCTTTGAAAAACCTAAACCTAACAAGCAAACTACTCAGACATGATCAATGAAACAGAAATCATAATTTGAATAGAAAGCATAAAAGAAATCAATAGAAGAAATAAGGGAGTTCAAAATCCTCTCTAAAGGAGAATGATTTATCTCTCCAAAAACTCTCTAAAAATCTCTCTCTTAATCTCTTTGTAAAATAAAGCTTAAGTCTAAACAATGACCATAAAAATCCTTTTATAGACCCAGAACACGATTTGAGACGAAATTGCAAATATATAAAACTTCTGGGCGAACTTGTAAGTCTTCAGAAATCTTTAAAAACTCGGACAAGATTTGTGCACTTTTGGTGTCGATCGACACCAAGACCCTAGTGTCGATCGACACGGGATTTGCACGCGCACTGCACAATTTCTGCTCGAGTGTACAATTTTTGCACGACTTAATTTCTTCAGCAACATCTTCTGTTTTGCTCCAAAATGCTCTAATATCTCCAAATAAGCTCCAAACATATCCAAACCTGTAAAGACTCAAAAAGATTCAAAAATAACAAAAAGACTCTATAAACAGGACTTATATCATGGTCAAAAACCCATAAAAACCATGATATATCATAGTTAACTAAACACCACTTAATTCTCCGACTAACAGCTTTAACAAAAAAAATCTCTGATTAATAGTACTTGATAACTTTTAGAACCTTGTATACATATAACTTAAAAAAATTATCAAAAAAATATTATCTTAAAAAATATTCAAACTAAGATACGAATTTACGCTATCTATGGACACCTCATTACACTTAACTTACTTTGGCTATATGACTGAGAAACCGGAGGTCATTAATCATATGGCATTTTCTTGATCGGTTGCCTCTTTCTTACGTAAAACGGTTATATTCCCCGCCAAAACAACAACATTTTAAAATTCGTGGTTTTCAATTCTTTTTGTTTGATTCACAATTATTTTTCGCATGTTTCAAATTCCAAGGTCAGCAAGAACATGAATTTCTATACTCTAGTTATTGAAACGGTTGTTTATATTCGAAGAGAATCACATATTGCATCAACCTTTCACTATTAAATTAATGTGAGCCACTGTGTAACAAACCTATATATGATCTATAGTATTTATTTATGTTCTTTTTATATATATATGATAGTATTTATTTATGTTTCTTGATAAGTATTGAGTCTTTAAAATCTTGAAAAACTAAAAATCTTGAAAATTATGAAAAACTTGAATGTCACTAAATCTTGAAAATACTGCAATCACGTAATTCTTGACAATCTTGAAAATCACTAATCTTGAAAATTTGGAATCACCTCTTTTTTTTAATAAGAAAAGAATAACCTTTGCATATCTAAGGATTTATGAGTGGTTTTCTTTTTGTAAATTGGTAATTAATTGTGTGACAAGAAAAATAACAGTCAGTAAAATCTAGATGAAATTTGTAAAATCTATCGACAGTCTACGACAATTAAGTAAGAAATTGTAAATGGTAAAATTATTGTTGCGAAAAATACTAGTACTCACACAAAAAGATAGTTAAGTCTCTTTAAGCTGCTTTTGTTTTTTTATTCATTGTTAGCCTATTTTTTCCACTCATTCTAAAACGTTACATTTTATTGTAACTCTTGACTAGATTTCATATCACAAAGAAAAATTAATAGCCAAACAAGAGGATTAACAACAACAACAAAAAACATTAGTTTATTCATGTGTTGTAGTATCATTCATAACAAAAGTTCAAATTGTTTGAATCTACGACGTCGTGTGAATACATCCACTATGTCATCAATACGTTGTGTTACAGTACTACACCACTATCATCATTCATTGATTGCAAAACAGACCCATATATGTTATATTATTGTGAAAGACCCCCTCACAAAACCTTCTATATAAACTCTCCATAGTTACATTGTTCAGGAAACACACTTAAAAAAACATAATAACGAATCAACGATCATTAAAAAATGAAGACAGCCCACACCACTTTCCTTATATCCATCATTCTATTAGCTTCATTTTCCTCACTCACACACGGACTCATACTTAACGGCCTCCGTATCGGCTCCGTCAGAGTTAACGGCGTCTTGTACTGTTCCCTTAACGGCAACCTCATCGGAAACAGCCCTCCGTTATCCGGCGCCGTTGTCCAGCTATCATGCGCCGGGTCCCAAACCGATCTTGGTCAAGCTTTGACTAATCCCGCCGGAGTTTTTGTCATCTCCGTGAGGATTCTTGACACAATCTTGTTTGATCCTGCCACGTGTTTCGTCAGAGTTAACCTCCCAGTTGCCACGTGCTCAGTTTTCCCGCCGGACGGAGCCCTCACCGCCTCCTTAACCCTTGTCGATATCATTCACTCCGTTCTAGGCAACATCGCCAATTTCACCGTCACCCCTTTCGTCCACTCCGTCCTTTGAGTGAATTCTAAGAAAAGACCAAACAAAAGTCGTACGTGCATGTAACTTTGCTTTTTGTTCTTTGTGCTTTGGTTATGTTTTGGACGGTATGGTTATGTTACGAAAAATTAAATAAATAAAGCACGTACTTGTTTATCTCATTAAATGATACAAAAAGGTTATTTCGCAAATTTATCCTAATTTTTATGACATGTGAATTCATAAAAAAAAAAATATTACAACTTCATAACGGATTATAGATATATATGATTATGATCTAATGATCACTCAGCCAGGAAAATAGTGTTGGACTGAAAATAGAAAAACTTTGTCGCAGTTGCAGCAAATCTTTGGGTCATTAATAAAACCAAATTTAGCTATACTGTAGTTAATATATTACAACTTTTTGTCGCAGTTGCAGCAAATCTTTTGAACATTAACATATTACAACTTTTTGTAACGGAATTGGCTATAGTTTTGATCATTACTAAAACTAAATTTTACTAGTATACCACATTGAAAATTGAAATGGCTATACATGTGTACTATTTATATAAAAAATCGTAGTTACTACTTTCGACACCATAATCAATTAAGGCGCCACCGTTCTCATCGCAATTTATTGATATTGAGGACTAAAAATTTGCAGTTAAGCTATTTTAAAAATCTCAAGAATTAAATCATCGTATATTAGACTTACTTAACAACCATATTCTCCTATATATAACAATGAATATAACCCCTCTTTAGTGATGAACAGATAAATAAAAAAAACCATCACTAAAACTGAGGAATGCTTGTTTTCATTTGATTATCTACTGTTGATCCTAGATGATCAAAAGCTCCTAACATTTTTTTATCTAAAAAACTAAAATCTGTAATGGAGAAGAACATGTCTAGTACTATGTGCTTCAGGTGAAAGTATACATTGATTATCGATAAAATCTTTCTATGATCGACATAAACTAGACCTATATTTAAGCCCTCGTTCAAATTTTGTTGACCTTCCTCTGTTTTGGCGCACATTGGTGAAACTATTTCAATATTACATTACATATCAAAAAGGCTTAAATCTTCTGTGTATTAACAAAACACTGATCATCTGAATAACCAGCAAATGTTCCTCGAGTTTCAAAGTCTCGGAATAAACGAGAAAAAATTGTCAAACAACCATTTTGTCTCAAAAAGAGTTTCTAGTACGCATTTACGAATGCACATTATTCACTTTTTACCAAATGCTATCAATATCTCTGTAGGGTAGTATAGTACTGTTCAATTATAGGTATATGATTCAAACCTTTCTTCTTTTGTATTTACCTTTTGGTCATTTAAGAACCTTGAGGGACGACCTGGGTTTAAAACCAGTAGCCACGAGCTTCTCTTGCTCGGAGAGTGAGTGGCGGAAGTGGCAACGGTGGCCGTAAGGGCAGATATCGCCGGCAAGAACCATTCTGCAAACCTCAGTCTTGTAACGAGGATGGCGGATCACTGGGCGGAGTTCTTTAATGCCGTGAGCGAATTGGCAATGGTCACCGTATGGGCATGTCCCTGTCTCTTGCCATTTGTTGCAAAGCTCTGTCTTTGTCATCCCTTGGTTGTACACCTCCACTTCTATTTCCTCCTCCTCTTCTTTCTTCCCTCCTCCTCGCACATACACCTTTTGCTGCATTTCATTCATTCATTCATTCATTCATCACCAGAACACAGAAAGCAGATGAATACAGAACACAGATTCTACACTTACCCAAAGTCTAGTGTCTCAATGATTAACTCTAACTGTTCCCAAAACACTAAACCAAAACCGTTCCTATATGAACTCTGATTAGAGCCTCCTCTAAGATACATTCACGTATTTCGTTCAAAGAAAGCAGAGGAACAGAGGATTGTATTGTTGTATCAGAAAACGAATCATATGTGCAGCTCAGATTCAACAGTTAAACCAAAGTCTATTTATCAAAACACTAAACCAAAACCGTTCATACACCAACTCTAACTAGAGCTTCATATATACATTTCCTGCATTTCGTTCATTCATGGCCATTAATCTTTACATCTATACTTCAGAGAAAGCAAACATCATCAATACAGTTTCTTCTTTTGTTTCTTTATCCTGCTCAAGAATCTAAATCTAAACTTCGTGAAAAGAAGGCAGATTGTAATCAGATATGCATGTCAGGTTCTATAGTCTCAATGATTTACCCAAAATCCATTCCTAGAAAACAAAGAAGGAATAGTTCATTACCGTCGTACTGAGTTGTTGACCGCAAGTCCCAGGCTTAGGCGTAGTTCCTCGAGGTTTTCCAGATTGTGCGGCCACACCACCTCCTTGGCTCGCCTTCGAGTAACCGCTCGATCTCACGGAGATGCTCTTTGGCAGCGAAGAACGGTTCAGATCCTCATTCTCAATCACGCTCGTGGGACTCTGATCGCTGACGTCATCTCGATTCGCCGCACGGTTCTGATTCTCGGCTTCGTCGGCGTCGTGATTCCCTCCTCCGATCGAGAGGTTGCTAAGCATCCGTAGCGGAACCCTCTCGTAGTTGAAGCGGTTCTGGATAGACGATCGGATCAGCTTGTCAAGCTCTGTCTTCAGGTGGCGATTCATCGATCGGAGCTCGGTGTTCTCAAGACGGAGTACCTCTGCCTCCAGCGAAGCCTCGTGGAGGCGCGTGTAGCACAACGCCTCTCGATTCACCATGTCTTGGCGCTGCTGCATGACGTTGCGGCTTGAGTGGTAGAGCTGGTCACACAGGAGAGAAGGCGATACGACGCTGACACCGGACGGTTCTCCCTGGGGTTTCATGATTCCGACGGCGCCGGTGGAGCTTCCGCTGTAGTTGAACGGCGCGATTTCGTTTTCCATTCTTCCCCGGTGAGATTCTGTTCTGCAATCGCGAGAAAAAGGATTGAGAGATCGGAAAGTTTCTGCATCTGAAATCGGAGCAAGTATACATCTCGCGAAGAAGATAAATACGAAATTTCTTCAAGCAAATCATATCGGAAACTCGAATTCCGTCGAACAAGTATTGAACATCGTTTCCGTTTACAGGAATCGCGGAAAATAACAGAAAGAAAACTCCAGATCTAGTTTTCGCGAGGGAAAATCAAATTCGTATGAACAAAATCAAGATACGGAAGAGAAATTCGGAGACAAAATCGAAGATTAAAGCGATAACAAATGTATGTACCTGGAGACTGGAGTAGCGAAGAACTACCGAGAAAGTGAAGGAAACTGCCGAGAAAATTGAGAGGAAACTTTTTTTCGCTAGAGAGAGAGAGAGAGAGAGAGAGATTTCTCAAGTTAGACAGAGAAAGTAGCTCGAGAGGGAAAGCTACAGGCTATTTATACATGCCTGGGTTTGCTCTTTGCCTCTTTGGAGGGAAATTATGTAGAAGGATTTTATAATTTTTAAAATTAATTAATTAAGGGGAAAATATGGTGGTTGTTAGAAGTAACCGAAAGAAAATCAAGAATCACTCTCGTAAAAAAAAAAATAATAATGTTCAGTATGAAGAGCAAGCACCAACCACAGTTCCAAAGTCTTCAGTTATAATTACGGTTATGCCACTATATTTTGATATAATCATATACATAAAATTAAAATATTGGATGTAATATTCTTTTATTACAATCATAAGTAGGAAGAAGCCATAGTAGCTGGAGATACTAATAACCAGGCCCAGTTATGGTTAAGTGAATCATTTGTTTCAACTAATTGCTTGATTTTGAAGATTATTTAAAGGGATAAGATTGGTCTTTTTTACAAAACTTGCAAGGTAGTAGAACTTATGGGAAGAGAAAAATACTGTTTCTGCATTTTAATTCGCTAATCTATATCTATAAAGTAACATTTTTCTCTTCTCATGTAGCCACATCACCATCCTAATCAGATGCCACCTCACCATTTAAATTTATAGATATATATTGTGATATATATAGCACAAATTCATAGTTTCTCTCAAATCCACCTTACATCTTTTTACTATATGGGCTTATTTAATTTATATCTATATCTATATGGAGTGTTATAGATATAGATTAAAATCTATAACAATCATCAACTTCTGCATCATTAAATTAGAGTAAAGAAATATAAACACCTGACAGAAAGATATATCACCTTCCGAGCAGAGAGCGCAAAGGATGAAAGCAATCGAAAGGGCCACGGATTAACTTTTGAGCCGACGGAAACAGTTGAGGTGTTCACAACTCTCCTCCGAATCTGTAGTTGGTAGCATGAGCGACTGAATGATTATAAATCAACTTCACAGAAATAATTACAAAATGGGAGAGATGAAATAAATCAAACACAATCCACAGACGCTGTAGCAAGTGAGAAAGGTCCGCCACTTGATAAAAACATAATAAACATATAATTAACAGAGGAGAGAGTAGGACAAAGAGAAAAAATTCGAGTAGAGAAAATCGAAGAATAATTTCTCAGAAAATAGATTGATGTTTCACGATCTGGGAACGACCATCAGAGAAAAACCCATTGTACAGGACAGCCAGTTAGCCGCCACCAAAAAACATGGTTCACTAATTGGACTTCTGGGTTATCAAATATGGGCTTTATAGACCTTCACCGTTTTCACATATAGAAAACACATGTATTAAAACTTAGAAGATTCAAATTTAAACCAATTAAAAACATATAAAATGGAAGAATACTAAAGTTAATAAATTAGAGTTTAAAAAATATTAAGAACCCATATAAAACCGAATATTGTCCGCTAAACAAAAATACTACAAAAACTTAAAAAACAATACTATTTAATTAAAAATAATTACTAAAAAATGAATTTAAAAACAGTCATATACATCTTTATGGAGAATTAACATAACAATCATAATGAAGAACAAAATGAAAAATGGAAAAAAAATTGAAACCACGAAAGCAACTTGGACATACATGGAAAGATGTACGACTACAATATTAGAAAGACTATACATATTATGAAATTAAACCATAACAATTAATATCTTATAAATATATAAAAAAATAATGTATAAATCTGCGCGTAGCGCGGGTCAACCCTAGTCTGTATAAAGAAAAAAACTTAAAAGATGGTTTTGCTTATTTATCACAACTATAACAAATCCCTTTTTAGTGGTCTTGTCAATGTCATTACTCATCAATTATGGTTTTGGTAACACAAAGGTCTTACAATTTCCACTGTTCCTATCTCATCATTGTCAATGTCATTGTTTGTTAAGTAACCTTTTGATTGAACATTACGGATAAAGTTAAATTCTGGTGAAATTTGGTGCAAACCTGTGATTACAAATTGTATAATGAAACAAATAAACAATCAAACAAGATCTTGGCTTCATTCACAGTTGCATGCAAGAAACTGAATTATGTAAAAATAGAATGAACAGCTAGATTAGTATCTTATGTACAACGCCATGATGATGAAGAAAAGAGATGCAACTCATGTCTTCTTTGCTTTCTTGGGACAATACTAAGCTTGTTTCTCCTCTCTGAATCCAGAAAATGTTTGAATAAGATTATGAAAAAGTTAAGATAAGCTTTAATGGAATCAAGACTTACGTTCTAGCCCTCTTCTTCTCCTTGAGCCTTGAGATGGCGTTTTGACGCGCATTGTTAGAGAGAGAGGAACAAAAAGATATTACTTCCTCTGAGTGATTGTGAGGGTAGTGCGTTTCGCTGCTGCTTCCTCCTTCGTTGGATCTTGAGAACGAAAGAGATGAGGAAGCTGGTTTAGGTGCAAATATGGAATTATTGAATGGTGAAGAAAATGTCTTCATCTGAACACACACACATAAAAGAGGTAGAGAGACCTTAGGTTAATTATTACTAGAAGATTTATTAAACAAGAGTGATTAGCTCTAGAGAGACTAAAAGATTTTCTCAAACCTCAAATAAGACGTTGGTACTGTCTGCAATAGGATCTGGTTCAGCTCCGAAAAGTTCTTCAAAGTTTTTAAAAGTGAGATCAATGTCAGGTATATGGAAGTCATCGTCATCACAGACTGTATCTTCACAAACTCCAATGTCTTGTAGATTTTGATGCCACAACTGAATGAAAAACAGAGCTTATCATGTAAACTAAATGGTTCCACAAAAGACTACTATTTGAATTAAATTAACCTGATTGTTCTTATGAAATGGGCTTTTGCATTCCCATAAGGAATCACCAAGTGTGGAAGATGAAGACAAGTGTGAAAAATCAACAATCAGCTCTTTTCCCGTCTGTGGAAGATCGATCAAACGTTCTTCAGATTGTTTAGGAAGATCCAATGGAGAAGGTTCGGCTTCTTCTTTCGATTCCAAACCATTATTCTCTTTCTTGAGCTGAATCTTCTCCAATTCAAGAATCTGTTCCAAGACAAAACCAACTTCTCTTTGCACCTGAAACCCTCAAAATCATCGGGCACATAAGCAAACAGAGAGACATAATCATCTACAAAAGCTCAAAAGAATATACAAAATAAAATCAAACCTTAGGTTTAACCATTGAAAAACTTCTCTCTAATGAAGCACCATCATCATCATTAACTCGAAAACCCCACATAACAGCGAAATCTTTAGCAGAAGGACAACTCGTGTAACAGCTCACATCACGTCTATGATGCTTAGAAGAGACAGTACCATGGACCTTATCATTGCATCCATTACAGAAAAACATCTTGTGGTCCAAACATCGTACAACACAAGGCTGACTTTTACAAAGATCGCATAAAAGTGTGCGTAAATGTCGCCCTGAGAGTGCATTAGCTGAATGAACCTTAGCATCACATGTTAAACAAAGATTTGCTGCATCTGCTATACAATAAACCACAGCTCTATAAGCTTTGCAAAACTCACATAATCTCTCCATTTCTCTATGATTTTTATTCTTTCTTTTGTCTCTTTTTTACCCAAAATCCTTTGGATCCTCGAAAATATCCATAACTTATGACAAAGATTCGTCCCTGTTTCATCAAAACATCAAATTTATAGCAAAAGGTTAGTCTATAATCACAGATCGAACACAGTTAATAGATAAAACCAAAAAAATATAATTTACCTGAGAGAGAAGAAGCGTAGAGTTTATGAGAGAAAGATATATTCGTGACACAGCTTTCTCTGTTTTAGGGAACTTCCTATCTGATAAAATCGTCGGTTCGGCTTATTTTTTCCTTTTGTTATGCTGACGTGGCTAAGCCACGTAGGTTTTTGTAGGACCTACGTATTGGTGATTACGTTATCCTTATGCACGTGAGATATGGGGAAGCCACGGACGTATGTTCCATGTGACAGTTTTTTTCTCGACCCATCATCCTAAAACTTAGCTTTTTGTAACCAATTAATGCAAGCCACGTGTTATAGCCGAACCCGGACCGATACACTTAACCGAATCAAACCAAAGAGTATCACAATGTTTGGTAACAAAAGCACTTCGTTACCGGATCAGCTGTTGATTCGGTCAAGTTTTTGCCAATTCTCAAGGAGTTACACGATTTTGATTTTGCCATTAACCAGTAAGTTAACATTTCAAATCTTGTATTTATACTTTTAATTCGTCCAAAAATATGTTGAAATCACTTTTAAAAGTAATTCAGTGAATTTTCTTAATGGTAAAAAATTGCGGAATAACATGAAATAGTATAGAATTTCATCACCTTTATTTTAGATCGAAATTGAAGTCAATTACTTTTGATTTATTTTCCAAAACAAACCAAATTTTCTTTTTTCCATTAGGTTAGGATCAAAAAGGTTCGGTTTAGCTATATATTGGACACTCCTAAAGCAAAACAAAAATGCTGAATCTGTTTATTTAACCGATGAAAGAGTAAAGGAAAAGACAAAAATTCAGAGAAAATGAGAAAGGTTACAGATACAACACCAGAGTCTTTTAGCAGAGATCCCTTCCATGCTCATGCTCATGTACAAACTCTGGCTTTCGCAAAAGTTGAATGGACCGACATTCAAGATCTGGCAGACCCATGCAACATGAAGGTGATTATTAGATCCTGAATCTTGAATCCAATCGATGATAAATGAACTTCACTATCATCATAATCACAACAAAAGATGAGGAAGACTTCTTTAACAGTTTACCTGATTGTTGTCATCTTTTTTTGGTGTGTACTTCAATCATATCACCCTCCTCCATCTCAAGACTAGAAGGAGTCGTCGATGGATCAATCTTGTCACCGTCGAAAGTAAATACAAGATTTTGCGGGTCAAACTTTTCTTTATCCGTATACATTTTGAAAACCCGCTCAAACTTCTCGTCCTACAAAGATAATGGTGAAAAATACCAAATCAAATCAAGATAATGTGCTGCTCATTGTACATTGCAAAGAGCAAAACCAAATATCCACTATGTGTGTATATGCTGTGACGCAACATTGTTAACAACACGAAATCATTCTCTCTTTTATCAGATGAAATCTCTACGTGTAGCTCAGAAACCAACCAAAAGGATGAACAGATCCCTCAGCTAAGCCTCTACAAGATCCTAAGACACTTCTTAAACACTCAATACTCTACAAGGATATCTTCATTCCCCCATTTATAGTCATGATTTTCTAGAAAGCTCGAAATATTTTGCTATCTGGAGATGTTAGCAAAGGTGATAGTAAGCTTTTTTTTTGTGATAAAACTTACCGCATACACCCGAAATTGCTTGTGGCCATCTTTGTCCTGTATCGTAATGACAATCTTGGGCCTGTCATTAACCACTGGTGGTGCCTGAGCCTCTGAAGATGGATTGACTGATACTTCAGCATCTTTTTTAGCAGACATTTCGGCTTCCTGCATCACATCTACTACATTTGTTGTGAATGACATGAGCTCCATCTTCTTCGACCTACATTGCATCTCTCAGTTTAGGGATTTAGAATCAAAGTGTAACAAAGCAACTCTTTAGGTGATAGCAATAAACAAAGTAAAAAAAGAAAAAATGACATTGCATTCAACGAAATCACATATATAAGATTGCAAGAAACCATATAAGCTTCTAATAGCTCGACATTCAAAACTATGTACCTCAATGCTTTAATGGTTGAATCTTCACCGGACTCTTTATTATTATCGAAGACAACCTTTGGCGGAGGAGGCAACCAATCATCATCACCCGCCACATCAATCACCTTCACATCTTCATCTTCCTTTACAACCTATATATATACACACAATAAGTAAAACTTAATGTTTCAAAAACAAAATGAAAGAAAGGTGTGACTTTGAATCGTTTCAAGTCTCTGAAATTGTATGAAGAACAGAATTCGAATTGTTTCTTCATCGATTACATAAACAGAACCAAAAACAAACACAAAAGTGAATCCAACAACACTTTCAAAATCCCTAATGCTCCCAACAAACAAATCCCAAAATTCCCTTATACTGTTCTCCTTCTAGTGCCAAAGATCAGTGAGCGAGCAAATCATAAAGGATCAATTCTTACTGTTTGGGAAGTTTTTGCTCTTTTCTTAACCGGAACCTCCGCGACATCAGAATCGTCATCTGCAATTTTAAAGCGAGAAGAAGGAATAAGAAGAATCTCATCTTCATATCCTCTCGCTCCGTCACAAAACCATTAACTGAAAACTTACCATCAATGCAAACGAAATTCGATGGTTGAACACGATGATAATCAAAAAGTGGCTCTAAATCTTCTGCTTCACCTCCCTGATCACACAGTAATAAATTCTCAGAAACCAGAACCAAAACAAAACCCCAGAGGGAATAAAAAAAAGTAAACTAGGGTTTCGAAATTAGGATATCTGAAACACAGAAACTCTCACCATTGTAGCAATTTCTGTCTTCTTCGCCTGGATATCAGAAACCCTAGATAAGTTTGAGAGATAGTTGGGAAGAGATCGTCGATGTGCAGCTTCAGGAACTCAAGAGTCGAGCGATTTTGAATTTTGAGATGGATACTTGAGAAGGCATCAGCGATTCAGTGCACGCGCGTTGGTTTAGGAAATATGGGTTTATCTTAATTTTGGGCCTATAATTCGGGCCGACTTTTCATTTCAAATATGATCAGTGTAATTTTGGGCCTATAATTTGGGCCGACATTGCTTTGGTATGTTCCTCATAGTGCCAACTCTTTCCAAGATTTCTTTTTTTTAATTTTGTAAAAAGGAACTATGAGTTGAATTGAATCCAGAGAAAAATAATCTGATTAAGCTAGTGACATAAGTTGTAATATAAGACAAATATTGAGAACATTCTTCTTTTACACAATGATTATTATTTTTTGCATTATCTTACATTAGTTGTGATATTTGAATCTGTCCTTGGATAGGTGTCTGACACTTGGACACACATCAATGGGTGGGGTAAGATTATTTGTGACCATATCTACAAATGGGATTCTCCAACTCAAACCTTCAAACTCTCCAAATAAGGAAAATAAAATAAAAATATGAACCACTCTTACATGTAGTGTCAGGATTTGGTTTATATCCTAAATAACAAATAAAAGAGTTCCTCATTAGTTCATGTTTGGTTCCATTAAATAAAAGTGACATTCGTATTCGTTTCTGTAAGCGCGATGATTTCAAGATTTGATAAAGACTCATCTTTGTTTCTTACCTAAACGAGTTATCTTTGCTAGGCTAAGGTTTGAATCCTCTTGATGCGATTTTAATCATGAATAGCCACTTGTAGATGTCTTTAATGGCAAGAAAACCTGAATGTTTATGAGTTTTGTGGGTTTAGTCTGAGATTCGGTCTTGTGTGGTATGTTCATGGTTAAAAAAAAAATTATGATCCATCCCATATTTATGTGAGTGTATGGAAACTGTTATTGTACTACAAGTTGGGTAACCTTTTCTTGATTTTGATTAGTATCGTATCTGCCCATAACATTGATTACATACGATTTCTTGATTTTGTTATGGGCAGTTTTTTACGCTTGAATGTGTTGTCCTTTTTCGTAATCATTGTCGCAATATTTATTTTATCGAGTTACGTAATACGTACCATCCAACTATAACTTTTATAACAAAGATTTTTTTGTTTTCTAACAATACCAACAATTTTATTTACATGGGTTACACTTGTAACTTACATTTTACAAACAAGCCAAAGATAATGGTCATTCGATATAGTTACATAAAAGTATGAGGCCAAACTGTTTGTCTCACGAAATGTTTTCATACATTCTTGTTGAATTTCCTTTCATTTTTGGTCAATTGTATATGTTTTTTAATTAAATAATTAAAAAACATGAAAGCATAATAGGAAAGCCAAGAAAGTTAGATTAGGAGGAGGGATCTTATCGATGAGGTTATGTACCCAATCAACCATCATTCGTAGTGGCCACAAAGAACAAACCCGACTCCGAAACCGATTTGATCCATCATTTTCGACGTGGTTAGACCCTCCTCCGTCTATATCACTTTCGGAAACGCCAAAGTTAACCTCAAAACGACAAATAGGGCAAGTATTATGAATATTCAACCAAGAAACAATGCAGATTGAATGGTACAAATGCATGCATTTCAATTCTTTTCCTTCCTCTCCAACTTCAAACTCTTCCTTGCATATCGCACAAACCTTCTCTTTCGACAAATCTTCTTCGTCCATTGTCACCGTCTTTACAGCCTCGATGGCTGATAAAGAAGCCGGTGGTGGACCTACCCGTTCGTTGGGCATGACATCAACGAACTCATCATCGGTATTACCTAGTTCATGGTTGAACCGGTTACTTACAGGGGAGTTGATTAGATGGAGAGTGATCCAATCGGTATCGGTATCCCAATAAGGCCGGTTTAGCCTCATGATATCAAGCTCATCGTGAAGATTGATCTCTCTAGAACAGAAAGGACATAAGGGACCATATAGACCATAGTTTCGAAGTCTAATGGTACGGCTACAATGACGGCAATAGAAGTAATGGAACGTTCTTGTTCTTCTTGTTCCGTTCACAATAACTCTTGGACGATACTCAGATGTCATGCGTTAACGTGGATTTTAAATCCTTTTCCCTTTTTTTTTTGGTTGGTATGGTCCAAATATATGCATTTATACCTAAATACGTGTACATTTTTTCAAGATGAGGCAAGACGAAGCCTATACAAATGAGTTATGCTTTCCTATGTGTTTAACTCGCGAATCTTTGGTGATTTGTCTTGTACGAATCAAAGATTCAAAAGAATGAGCTTGGGGAATCAATTATAACAAAGGGTGTAGGTTTCGTAAAGAGGGTTGTTATTGTAGCGGCCCATTATTGGCCTAGTCCAACTTAATCCTATATAATAACATAATTTTAACTTCTTTTTTAGCCTTTTGTTATTTTTACCCAAATCTGATTGATGGCACAATGTTTTTTACAATATAATAATTACTAATATATATCTATATTAAATAATTTTAGAATGTTTAACATTATTAGTTAAAAGAATACTTAGTTTTCTATTGTAATCTTTGTAATTTAGAAAATAATTAGATTATACATCTATTGTAATCTTTGCAATATAATAATTACTAATATATATCTATATATATTGTAATCTTTAACCAGCATCACCTCTTGAAAAGTGTTAATAAGATAGACGTGTATTCAGATTGCAACGATGGATTGGACTTCCTTAAAAGTGCAAAGAATTAATTCCTTTTTTGTTTAATCCATGAATAAGATTCAGGTAATTGTGGTCGTAAGAGAGGGCAAAACCAGTAGTTTAAAAGCTACAAAAACGATGGTAAAAAGGTATTTTGGGTTCAACTTAAAATCTAATCATAAAGTTTTTAGTTCTACTTGTGTGCAATATATTTTAACTGACTCAAACATAGCTTTGAAAAGTGGGCATCTAACTTTTTCTAACTTTCTCATAGATGAAATTAAAGAACCTTATACCGTATGAATCCTTAATTTCATATATGGCCTGTGGGATAAGCAAAGAATATTTTACTGCAAATAAAAAAGATATCATCAATGATATAACAATATTCTTCAATTCATGAAAAAAGGGATACAAACAAGAAATTTTACTTAAACATCTTTACTTGTTGTTCTGGAGTCCATATCTTTGATGGAGAGACATTGTTGACTTGAGGAGAACCTTAAGTTAGTTGAAAAGAAACCCAAGTTCTGATAATGGAGCCGGAGTTTGTTCAATAGTCTCTGTGGAATAAGAGAAGTATGTTTTCATTTCTGCAAAAACAGATTCCAAATCGTTGAATGTTTCAAAGATTTTATATTATTAATGAAGCCGAAGTTTGTTCAACAGTCTCTGTAGGATAAGAAAAGTATGTTTTCAATTCTGAAAAATCAGATTTCAAATCCTTGAATTTTTCAAAAATTTCATATAATTTTTTTTTATTTTTTTTGCTCTCGCACTTTCCCTTGTGTCGCTTATATGATCAGGAAATCAAATTCAGAGACTTATAAACACGTCAACAATATATAAAAACAGTTAGCGAAGCAGACTTATATTGGCTTTAATCAATTTCAGAATTAAACATTTTTCTCTACTCGATTGGATAAATAACTTAAATTTTTAGCTCTTTTTCATCTACATTGTCCTCAAGATTTCAAAAACTTGAAAAAAATCACTTAGGTCGTGATTACAATAATCTATGTTTTACTCACTTAATTTTATTTTTGTTTTGGCATAAATAAAGGCCTTTAATGAAGATGAACTTTACATGTCTTTTTTTTAACTTAGAGAAAACGATTACAACCTATAGAGCGATTCATACAAATAAAGAGAGGTCAGGTGTCTTTAACGACAAGTGACAACACAGGATGGATCCAAGGGTATCAAAATGTTGAAAAGATGAATTTGATCCAAAGGTAACTATGTAAATTTAGAGATTCGGGTTCGGGATAGGAATTACAGATATGAGATAAAATGAAAAATTTGGGATTTGGAAATCAATGTTCCCTGACCTGGCCTGCTTCGCCCTCGTCGCCTTTGTGATTCAATCGGTATGGAACCATCATATGGGACGAGAACTGAAGTCTTCTTCTCAAACTTGGTGTGGGAGGAAGTTCAAACGCCAAATTTGTATTTGAAGATTGAAGAAGGCTTGTTGCAGCAAAGACTTAGTAAATGTATCTACTAGTTGTAGAGATGCATGCAAGGATATTTTATTTATAAGTAAACAAAATGAGATTCCTAATTAAAAATATTTTTTTTAACAAATTCTTTCATTTAAGACGACCCTCTGAAGTGAGCAGTATTAATTAAAAATAAATAAGATTTGACCATTTTTATTTGTAACGTTCTTCAAACTATTATCTGACATCTGAAAATTTGGAGTTTTTATGTGGTAGTAACGATGGCTCAAGGTATAATCTTAAGCTGTGACACATCATAACTTACATACATGGCGTAAGAAATCGTCGTCATATCTTATATACTCCATATATGTAAGTAGTTAATAGCTAAATAGATATATTTAAACTAATGTTTTTGGTTTGTGTTTGGATTCAAGGGACATCTGTACTTAACGTGGGGAGATTGTTGAGTGTGATGCCTTTGCTAGTCTTATTTGTTTCAATAAAATCCGAGGTCGTAGTGATAGTACTCTTCATTTCCTTGTTTTTACCCCACAGTACAAGGTATAATCCTCCCACGATAATCACCGCACCAATTATGCTGTAAATGTCGACAAGTAAAAAATAAACCATATTATATACATCAAATCCATCTCCACCAAAACAATACAATATATACATGTGATTTTTTTTTGTACCTCCCCAAATGAAGTGTTTCATTTAAAACAAATGATCCAACAAGAGCTACGATCACAAGCCCTACAGGAGTAAATACCGATACAAATAACGGTCCTCTAGACTCAAGGCACCATGCGTTAACCGCTACCACCATACCGGAAATCACAATTGCCTGCAATAGACCAATAATTTTCTCATGCACTCGTATAAATGTGATATACATTATGTATACCAACAAGACCAGCTTTCCTTTAATTAGAACTTTTTTTTTTTTTGTATTTCTTTCTTTTTACCGCATAAGCAACGGTTAAGAGTCTGATGTTCCATCCTAGTTTCCATTTATTCAAATCAATGTTCCAGCAAAGAGCCACTAGCACAGCCACTACACTTCCCATCATGTTCATTAGCGTTGCGTTCCAATAAGCCCCACCAAATTGTTTGCTTATTTTAACCTGTAAACCAAAAACCATAAGCATAATTATAATAGTGAAAACCATTTGATTTTATTACTTTCATATTCTCTAGTGTATATATAATTAGACACATACATGAGGGTTTAGCAAAATTTCAGTTAATCCAAACCAAATGACATGCCTTGGACACAAAGTTACATGACAATATGGAAAAGATAAATGAAAAAACTACTTGCCTGCAATAATAACCAAGTGGAGTATGTAAAGTTACCGCCAAAAACAAGAAGAGCCCCAAGGATAGAGATGTGATGAGTGGTAGTAGCATCACGTGAGTCCTCACGTGGTTGTTTCACAAGGTCTACGTGGGTTGACCATAGATTAATGTTTTTTCCTCTGTAGAATATAAAGACAAGAGCCCCACCAACACCAAACAGTGTCCCAAAAACTTTAGCCTTCCCTACGCTCGATCCAAGCCCTACACTCTCCATCCTATGGAACCCATCAGAGTGTAAACCGGATATTTTTTGGTTCTTGATTTGTGTTATAAGATTATAAACTTATAAGCATATACAAATGGGTTATAACTAGACTTGCCTAAGAAATGCAGCCAATATGAAAGTGATCAAGGGGATGAGAACGGAAGCAGCAGAAGTGAATGTTGCTGATGTCAAACCAAGACCCGTAACGTTTAAGATACTTGGTATCACCGCACTATATTCAAATATCAGGAAATTTTATTATAAACCCAATGTATATTTTATGTGTGCGACAAATTATATTACATACCCGAGTAACCCGGAGAGAAGTGCTAGTAAGAGTAGACTCCATGTGAACTCTGGTCTCTTCTTCCTAATCGATCACAAGGAATTAAAAACGAGACAATATTAATTAATTAAAGTATATAATATCAAAACATTACTCATATAAAACGAGAAAAGAAAACCTTTGAAAGATGAAGGAAACAGGAAGCATGAAAAGTGTGGCAAAGAGGAGACGATAGGCCACGAGAATTCTTGGGTTCATACCATCTTCCATTGCAAGCTTGAACAGAATGTTCAATCCTGCTGAAGCTATCTGAACCACTACCATTGCCGTTATACTCTTCATTTCTCTCCATATTTCACATATTTGCCCCACCATTTTTTTATTTCTACACCCACACTTTTATTACTTATTAATGAAAAGAGAGAGTGCAGAGAGAAAGATAGAGATAAAGATATAGCTAAGTGAGTTAGACACTCTTTACTCGTGAGCACCTGAGCTTTATTTATCACACCCACAAATCTCTTTCTTTCTTTTTTACCTCTTCCCCCAATATTTGTTTTTCGCTGTGCTCCACTAAATTATGGTACCATAAATGAGTTGTATGATATAAGTAGACCCCAAATTCAGGTAAAATATGTTTCCGGAATATTATTTTAGATTTATCACACCCCACTATAGAATATAGTCTAATGTAAAGTGCTTCTAAAGTCGTGTACTCTAATTTCTAAATTCTAAAAACACTAACAGCTTCTAGACACTGTAGAGGTCTCCACTCTAATCACAATCGGGCGGTGATTCCAGAGAAAAGATTGCAAATATTATAGGACTATAAAATGTGAGAGGTATACTTACAATGCAATGAACATTTTTTTATATATAAAAAGGGATAACAATGAACATCATCGTAAATGTGCAATGAACATTTATGATGATCCTATCATTCTTCTTTACAGACCATTGTTTTGTGGAATTATCCGCATACTTTTATTTTGGCTAGTGCCAAATATATACATAACGTACGCATATTTCAGAAATTAGTTTTAACAAAAAAAAATTTCAGAAATTAGTTGAAATTATTTCCTGAACTTTTTCAATTAAAAAAAAAACGTGAGATTGTCAGTCTTTTGTTTAGTAATTTTTTTTTTGCTGATGGCTTCACCTTGTCAATGTTGGAGGCTGTGATTTTTCCTCTTGTTAGCTTCTTTCAAGACAGCAAAGTTTGCTTTTGTTTGAATATTTCACCGGTTGAGTTTGTTTGCTCCTGTTTATCTCTTTGTCTCGTTTTGAGTTATCATTTACTTTGTCTTGTGCTTCACCAGCCTGTTAGTTGATTTTTATCTATATTTGGCTCTGTATGGCTGTTTGTATTATCTCTGTTAAGTTAATACAAATTAAAAGTTTGAGAAAAAACAAAAAAAAGTGATAGCATATGTTAAGTTTTTAACATTCCACAGGTATGAACAATTACATTCCACCTTAGAGTAGGCGTGTAATTAAGTGGGTTATTTTACTACTTCGTGTTCTTTTAAATAATTATAATTTGTTGCAAAAATAGTTTAACCTTTATATACAAAGCAAAATGAGTGAGGAATCCAACAACGTGTTTATTAGATGCTGTATTGCTGTTGACACGTGCGACGCATGCTTTCTGCTTGGTGGTTCTCCATTACGTACGTAACCAAAAAACGTGTACAAAAGCTTTGTAATCCATCAAACTGTATTATTTTTCCTAATATGAAAGTTTTGCGAATTGTTGAGGGTCAATTAATTAGTTCATGTATTAGTATGGAAGGTACATATATGAAAATATGCTTCACCTTGGCCGTTAATTTTTTATCTGGTTTTAAGGAATCTCATCTTTATTTCTATTCACGAACACAATTCTAATAACGTACGTCAATTTTGTTCTACACCATCAGTATTCACCGTTACTTTAAAGTTACAGATAAGTTTTCTCTTTGTTCTCTGACAATTTTACACTTTGGAGTTTGTTTTTTAGTGGAATAAACTTTTATGTACATGCATTAATGCATATAGCTTCGATAATTGTATTTCTTTTTATTTTAGTAGTTCTAAAACATATTTCCACACAAACCTGATTAGTGCACTTCAGGCATTAGCAAATTAGCTAAGACTATACTTTGTTACATGAGGTTACATATCGAGATGACAACTGTCAATTATGATGGAATGATTTTTAGCTATGCAAATTATGATGGAATGAATTGTAGGTATGCAATAATATTATTCTTCAAATTGAAGAGATTAATGATGAAAAATTAGAAATTTTCGATTCAACAAAAATTATATAAGATAATTAAACAAAAAATGAGAAGGCCTTAAGGTTCATATGTATGGATTAATTGTAAAAGGCATCAGGTCAAACCAAAACTATTTTAGCTTTGCTGTTCTGTAATTTGTTTCTTTTTGTTTGTTTGTTTTGAATCATAAGTATCATATAGGTGGGGAAATGATGCTCATGAACTAAGGGAGCAAGTATAATGTGCAGGCCTGGTTCTTGGCCCATATTATTTTACTAAAGTTGTGATATTTTTGGAGCCCACATTTAAACAAATTTTGGAAATTACTACTAGTACTTGCATAAATTAGGTTTTCTTATAAATATTTCCCAAGACCCAATAGTATTAATGAGTCGGGCCTAAAAAATGTGTTATAATTAATTTCGTACAAAATTAAAAGAAATGTTGCTATTTTCTAATGTACCAGAGAATCCGCTAATTTACAGATTTATTAATTACTAAATTCAACACATCCAATTTCATATAATAAAATTATGAAAATTTGTACTAGATATAGGAAATACCTTTGATATAAATATGTAAATATTCCTAATCATTATTGTTATGAGAGTCAACAATATACATAGTTTCATCATATAAGCTTTCATCGATCTAATAAAATAAATAAAAAAACAGTAAAGAGAAGAGAAGAAAACAAGCTTGTTCTGTCGAGCTTTGCATCATTTCCCTCTTTTGGTGTTAGCAATGGCTTCATACAAAGGCCTTACTGTTTTTTTATTTGCTACCCTAATGATTATATCATTGGTGTTTTATGGAACTGGAGAAGCAAGAAATTTGAAAGTCTTGGGTGATGTGATCGAATCAGAAAATCACATAGAAGACTCCCATGATGCGATCAAATCTGAAAGCCATAAGGAACAATCATATGGTGTGATATATTTGGGATATGGATCTTTAGCAAAAAATAAGATCTCAGTATGTAGTTCCAAAACCTCAAAGGAATGTGTCAAAATTCCAGCTCATCATTATAATTTAGATTGTGAATTATCTACGAGATGTCGTCGTACTCCTAATGAATAATTTTATGTTTATATTTTAATATTAAATTATTATTTGTTTAATTATAATGATTATAAAGCTATATTATTGCATTAAATTTGGTCTGTTTTATATTTGATTAAATTTTTAGAAAACTAATAACATTAGTTTATTTATAGATGAAAAAAATTAGATTTTATAATTATTTGAAATCAAAATTAATATATTTGAAAAAATACAATTTTTATAAGATGTATCATTTTTTGGCCTCATAAATCAATTTTTATAAGATTTATGATTTTACTTGTGAACGCATAAATTAATTAGGCTAATCAAAAATATTAGTAGGTTAAACGATCAAATTAAAATTAATTTAAGAAAATAATTAGGATTGATTTTATTTATTTATGCTAATTACTTTTTTTTAGTAAACTGAATATTCTTACAATATAAATTCGAATTTGGAAATCTAAATTAATTAAAAATTATATTATATTGATTTGTTAATTTGATTAAGGGTAAATAAAATCTTTTCATATAAGGTGCAAAAAGTAATCAACTATCATAACTCTCAACCACATCCCAACTTGTTTGCCAATTAATAATATGATAACTAAATATAAGTTTACTTGTGGAATTATTATTTATGAAAACAAATAGTTATATTTTATATTTTCAAATTAGATTAAGAAAATAGTATGATCGAAAAAAACTAAGTGGAGGTTTAAGGTCCTAGGATTTCAATGGGTTTTAAAAAATTAATTAAATTCAGTGTTATTGGTTCTATGATTTTAAAATCTATATTGAAATTCAGGGTTACTAATTCTATGATTTTAAAATATATATTTAAATTCTGTGTTACTGGTTTATGATCTTAAAATCATGGATTTGATTTTATAGAGGAGTTTGGTGGGTTTGGAAGTATTTTCATGTTAAAAAATACAAAGATTCAAATCCAAACTTAAACCATTGATTTTGTAAAATTAACATGTTAGATTTTAAAAATCAATAAATTTTTACAGAATTATATGGATTCTTAAATCTACAATATACATAAACTAATAATACCCTATAGTATTATAAAAAAATTATTAAAAATAAAAAAGTAAATAAAAAGATTAAGAAAAAAGGAAAATAAAATATTTTATGTTTTTCAGTTAAATTTAGTAAATTTTATAATTGGGTAGTTTGTTTTTCTTGAGAAGAAAGATGATATACCAAATTAAAAGTAAAAGAAGCAAAATATAATTTTTTTTAAACTAATATATTTTATTATATTTTTTCAAGCATATATTTTATTATATAAAATTGGAAGAGGCAACGTTAGTAATTTACATAATTACGACATGTGGTAAGTCATTCAATTTAAATTTTGACATGTATCACGATTAAATTAAAATATAATTTTATTAAATATAAATATTATTTTAAAAGACTTAGAATGGCGACAACGTAGTGAAGAAAAAATCCAATTTTGCCTTTATACCATTTTATCAAATGAAATTCTCAATGAGAGTTTTTTAGAGAGAAATCATATTTGTGAAAATATAAAAATAAACGCGAGATAAATGAGATAACCAGTTTTTTAATTAGTTTTATTATCAGTAATTTTGCAAAAAGATTTTCAATCTTAATTTTTTATGTTCATAGTGGTCTAATTTTATTTTATACTTTTTCATATTCAATCATATTTGTAAAAAAAATATAAAAGTAAACATAGAATGAAGTAGAAAAAAAATTTCTTTAATCAGTTCTATTATAAATAACTTTGCAAAAATGTTATTGATTTTACTTTTTATGTTTACGGTGGTCTAATTTTGTTTTATACTTTTTTATTCCAATAATATTTTTAGAACATAAAAATTGACAAATTTGTTGCCATACACTATTACTATTTTAATTAGATTTATTTATGATTTTTATCATATTTGACTATTTACTCATTTAAATTTTGATATTCTTCTCATTTAAATTTGTATATCATCTTTTTTTATGCAACTCAGTTATAAAAAAATTAATATACTTAGAAAATATAAAAGGTACGAATTTTTATTTTTAAACACTCAATTTAATTTTCTATTTTCTATTTTTTCTTATTTACCTTTTTTAGTAGTAGGTTTTGATCATGCAAATTATTTAATTTAATATAATTGTAAAACTTAAAAAGACTTATTTTGGTAGTTAATTTATAGATTTATATTAACATTATGGTAAAATCTAATTGATTGATTTTTATTATATATATCGAAATATAAATTGAAAAAGTTAACACATACCATAATTATGTAAATTAGCAATTTTAACATATACAATATTATATTATAAAAAATTGTTATTAAAATTATTTCCTCGCTAAATTTGAGGCTAACAAATTATGTCACTATGTGGGCAAACAAATCTAAAGTGCTTCTTTTTCACATGTTTTTCGTTGCAACCGAGTTATTCATTGTCTTGCGCAAGAAAGACTGCCGAACAAAGTTTTTTTATTCTGTATTTTTCCTCTAAGTTTTTTTTTTGTTAGCTCCGTTATTGTATGAAGACTATGTATCTTCTTGACTTATATATTTATTTTAAATATAAAAAGATATGTTTTGACGATTTTGAGTGTTGTGACATATTTTAATTGACAAATGATATAATAAATTTGTGATTTTTAGTGAAATTACCTTTTTTTTAACACTGATTTATTAATCTATTGTAAATTATGAGAACTGTTACATCGATGATTCTACAACTAACGGTTCTATCTGCACCCTATACCATGCTTACCATTATCATATGAAGATCTATGCCAGACGATTCTGCTTGCACCACACTGAAGATCTCTTGTAAGCTTACCTCTATTAATTTGCATCATTTTTCATTAATCTACATAATTAAAAATAAATCGCGTTTGCTGGAATTTGAAACCCAGACTTCCTGGTGTAAAAGCATTAATAAACCCTTATTAAACCATTGAGAGAATTTCCACATTAGTGAAATTATTTACCAAACATATTTTCTTTCTTAACTTTTTTATATATATATATATATAGGCATGGGCTGTAATCGAAAAAATTAAACTATACCAAACTAAAGTATATATGATTTCAATATAGTTTAAATTTTTATAAAATCAATAAATCATAAAAACCGAAAAAAACTGAACTGAAACCAAATCAAAATCCGAGTTAGTCACCCCTACCCCTAGTTATATACTGCTTAAAAGTCTAATCCCATATCCAGTTTTTCTACGTACGGTCACTTGCAAATAGTATTGGTGGCAAATTAGTTGTTTTTTACTGTGGTAAATTTGTGATTATCGCATAGGATCAATAATAATAGGCTGAGACTTTTTCTACAAACTAATGGATATCTTTTTGTCGCTATATGTTTATCCCATATAATTAGTGGGATGCTTAGATAAATTTGCCTATTAACTAGAAAACCATGAATCTAATTTTTTAATACTTTGAAGTTTTGACAACGATGGACATAGATTGAATTTATATTATTAAAAAAAAAAAATCTTGTCTAGTTGATAAAACTTTGGGAATAAAAAAGTGAGGTAGAAGAAAGGCATCAAATGCTTTTGATATTGGGATTCGCACTGTTGCTGAATTCCACGATCTGCCAACCATCTATTAATTTAATTTACATTACATTTTTTTCTTCTTCTTCTAATTTTGTAAATTTCCAAACAAACAATAAAGAAACAAATCCAAAATGAATATATATGTTCTTGGTCTAGCTCCCTTCAATAAGGGAGGGAATCTATTATCTTGTTCCAGTCTTTGCTTATGGTCAAAAATCCTTTTTTCCCTTACACATAATCTTTATTCCTTTTATGTTGGAAACAATAATGCTAAGATTTAAATTTCAGTTTATTTTATTTTTTGTTTTCCATGAAAATGGTGGAAAGTTGACGTTGTAAAGTATATACAATAGAGAGACATACTTTTTCCATTTTTCAATCAATTATTTCTCTAAAAATTCCATCATAGAAGGCTGCTGCTCTTATAACAGAGAGAGAGAGAAGCAAATTAAAAAAGCAATTCCACAAACTAAAAAGAGAAGAAAATAATTGGTGATTGGGTAAACAAAAACAATTTTGGTTTTGTGGGAGATTTCACAAACAGCAACAACAAACAAAAAAATCTCAATATTCAAAAAAAAAAAAAAAAATACTGCAGCTACCTACACAAAGGTGAAGTTTTTACTCCTTTTTTTTTCTTTCTTCAATGGCGTAAGATGATTCACTTTCTCAAGGTTTGTCTTTTTTTATCCGATCAAAAGGTTTCGGGTTTCGCTTTGGATCTCCGAGAATTCAAGGAAGCTCGGATTTAAAGATGGGTTTTTCAAATTAGTTTAGGGGTTTGGTATTTGATTTCGATTCTTGAGTGTGTCAAAGGTTGCTCCTTTTTTAGTTGATGTTTAGAGGTGGTGTATGGTAGGATTAGGGTTTTTTCTTCTTGGATTATGTGGATGGCTACACGATCTAATTCTGGGTTCTGTCACGAGGAGTCTTTGAGTTCTATGGTGACTCGTCACGCCATTAATTTCCAGTCGAATACTTCTTCAGAGATGGTTCAGATGGGTCCTTACTTGGGTCGAAGTGGTGCCTTGTTAGGGATGAACATGATCAATAATGCCGCTAATTCTGGTTTTATCCAAACCGGGAACTCTTCGAATTCTTCTCTTGATTCGGTTTCTGGGCTCAAGCTAGATACTTCCTTGGCTAGTGAATGGTCAACACAAGAACAATTCAAATTGGAGGAGGGCCTTGAGAAGTGAGTTTGTGTGGCTTCTTTTATATCAATGAGGCTGAGATGGTTTTTGGTTTGAAGTTGAAATATGACTGATTTGATTGTGTTTTTGCAGATATAAGGATAAGCCAAGTATCATGAAGTATATTAAAATTGCAGCCACTTTACCTGACAAAACCGTTCGAGATGTTGCTTTGCGGTGTAGATGGATGACGGTAAAGCTCTGTTCCTATATAATCTCTAGTCATTTTAAGTTAAAAAATGACACTTTAATGTAGAATCTCTAGGAAAATGACACACATGGTTACATGTAACAGAGCATACAGGGATTCCTAAACTAAACAGTATGAAATGGTTTCTGTTTAAATTTTGTTTGGGGAGGACTTTGCCTTTAGGATGGAAATTTGGTCTTAGTGTCGCATAAACAGTCTTTGGGGTTGGAGTTTCAAGCAAAAACTTATCTTATTTGCAGAATGCTTTCTTATTCTTACATTTTGTCTTTGTCCATTGAAATTCTGAATTTGTTTTGCACAGAGAAAGAGAAGAAAAGCAGAAGAATTAAACTGTGGGAAAAGAATAAGTTCCAGCAAGGTATGTTGATGAGTGACATTCTTGATTCATAATGAAAAGCCACTTTTTGTATTTTTGTTTTGCTATTTGAGATCAAGTTCGATTCAAAGATGCTTCTAAGAATGATGGAGTATCTCATAATCTTATGCCCTCTTTAGAAAAGTCCACGGTTCTAAAAGATTTACCTTTCTTCAGGACAAGCATGCAGAATCGTCTTCTAATTCAAGCATACCTTCTGTTTTGCCTGAAAACATGGCTGCGTACCCTTTCTTGATGCCCTTTACGAGCTCAAGTAAACACATTACATGTGAAGGTTAGCATCTATCTTTATCTGAGAGTTTACCAATTCCAGGTCTTGCTTTAAAGGAGGCAATATGTTCTTATTGCTCGGTGTATTTACAATGGTTCAAATATCGTTTTGGTATATATCTTGTCTTCTTTTGTTAGATAAATATGATCAAAGGGGCTTATTGTATTTCAGCAAGACTTGCGTCTCAAAATAAGTTTAGTCTTGGAAGAAGCTTTTACGCATAGATAGTGAAATTGGTGAATTTTCTTAGCTTCATTGTCCTTCTCTAGAGTGCATTCTTGTCAAGCTGAATGTATCATCCACAAAATTTTCCAGCATTTTTCCCATCATCTAGTATAGGAGTATAATGCCTAGTGTAATGTTTTTATAGTGAAATTTTACATTCAAGTCCTGTAAAGATGATCCCTTTAACCTCTCGTTTCATGTGGAGTTTACTTGTAGTCGCAGTAATCTTTAGTCTTGCCTTTTTTTTTATACTGATTCTTTGGTTTTTCTGTCTCAGATTTAAGTGGACATGCAATAAGTCTCTTAGAACAGAATTCAAGAGCTTTTAGTCAAATTAGAGCTAATCTCTCCTCATATAAGGTAAGTTATAGGTTCTCTGGTTTAAACAGAATGCAAATACGTTCTTGCTCAAGTCTCTTTGTCCTGATGATTACGAACAGGTACAGGATAACATAGATCTGTTTTGTCAGACAAGGAACAACCTTCTCACCATCCAAAATGAGTAAGTATGATACTTTTTTTAACATTTCCCTATAAAGCAAGTGGAGCTTTGTCGAACTTATGTCTTAACTTGGCAGCATGAATAATATGCCTGGCTTGATGAGCCAGATGCCACCATTGCCCATTGCAATCAATGATGATCTCTCCGCTACTATATTGAGTAACTCAACTTTGGTAAGCTAAAAAAAAAAATCCATTGCTTTTATATATCGAATGTTACCCTGTTCTTTTGTTTACGTTTGAGTTTCTTGTTTGAATGTTTTGGTTTGAAGATGAATCTGTTTAGAGGAAGCATATGAATAATAGCTTCTTAATAGTTAAGATCTCATATTTACACATGTTAGTTTCACTTGGATCTCTTTGGCTATAGCAATGACTTTGGCTTTCTTGATTTTGTTACCAGGCGATGCCATTCAACACAATGCAAAATGGCGGCTTCCATATGAAGCAGGAGCCTTTGGGATGACTTTAGGGAATCATCTGGTTTCCCTTATTTACCTGTAAATGGTCTTTAAAGAAGGTGGAAGAAGAAGAAGAAAAAGAGCTCAGCACACGTTGCGAAGTTTGTAGAAATGTGATTCTTTCGTAACACCAAAGATCTTTATCCTCCACTATAGGGCATTATATTAAGAAACGAGTAGAGTCTTGGTCTTGACAAGGTCTATTAGATTGATCCAACTTAGTTCAATGTTCTTAGAAAGCGATGTGTATAAAATGATTGATTCTCTTGGGAGATTAGAAAGAGTGTGTTGAGATTTGTATCGTATAATCTTTTGGTGTGTTATTATTTTGGTACCCATTTCTTCTTAACATCTTAAGATCAAAGTCAACTACTTTTCATTTTTGTTACAAAAAAAAAACCTTCAATTTTTGTATATACGGGACATAAATGTTGAAAAACAAGAACAAGAAAAATACAAGAATATTCATGTCGACGACTTCATGATGGGACCAAAAGGACCAAACGACATCACATCATCCAATTTAATCGGTTTTGGGAAGAAGAAACCTGATCTCCTCCTCCTCTAGATGATGGATCATCGAAGTTGAAGCTTCTTATGGATCGATTGTTGATGCCATTTTGTTGAAAATATGAATTAGGATGATGAGAGAGGTTGTCGCTGGAATCGAGTAGCAAGAATGGAGAAGTTGAGGCAGTGGAAGCCATGGCTGTTGCTCCGACCGGAAGTGGGTGGTTATGTGTTCCTTCGTACGTTGTTATCAGTATCGACATGTCTTCTAAACACCTTTGCACCTTCACAATGCATGCAACTACTCATAAATAACTATTACACTTTGGATATATAAAAAAGCTTTATACACATAGTAGAATTTCAATTTTACTAGTAAATATGTAATTTATCTAATATATGATCATGACATATAATTTAGTGATTTGTTATTGTGTCATCACATGAACACAAACTTAATAGAATGCATACTGTTGGTGGGAAAAAAAGTATCAAAAAGTACACAAACCTAATAGAACACTATATTATAGAATTTGTCTAAATAAATAAATTATAATACTGGTTTGCTAGATCTCCAAAAAAAAACTGGATCGACACTGTCGATAACAAAATACGCAGAGGAAAAGTTGTAAATAGCAAATATATTTTTGGTGTGTAATTTTTTTTTTAAAAAATAGCATTTTGTCGAAGAAAAAATAATTTGATTTTTGTTAAAAAGACATACACGTAAAATCCTTTTTTTTTTTTTTTTAATTCTCAACTCATTTTATGTCGTTTTTGCAAATAACATGATAGAATTTGGTTATCTAGTGTGTATTCTCCAAATTATATTCACGATTCGATTGCGTTTCTTGTAGAACTTACCTGTTTCCTAACGGGACATCCTGGAGCAACGGTGCATCGGTAATAAGCTCGTGGACATGGATTCCCTTTCGCTGTTTTCTGACCGTACTTTCTCCATTGACATCCATCATTCATCTACATGACATATTCTAAATTTTCATGTACCAATCTCTTCTAATTGAGTCTAAAATCATATATATATTAAGAAACTCACCGTTGCGGTCTCACATCTCGCTCTTACAGAAACCCTGGTCTTTCTATTCCCCTGAGAAGACGATATGACACGTGGTGCATTCGTATCTAAGCTGCTACTATTGTATATTTGCTGATGATGAGACTGATCAGCTTCCTTGGTCTCTTCTTGTTTCTGCTTCTTCTGTAAAGATAAGGAAAGCCCTAATTCTCTTTCCATGGATTTAGATCTCCCAGCTCCTCTTTTTCGTGCTTTTTCCACACACCAGCTGCCTTGTGGTCCAAGGAACGTTTCAAGATCCTTAGGTTAAAGACAAACACCGATCAGGTTTCATGTTAATTATATTTATAACAACCATATGGAAATAATGTGTGAAGACACAAGATTCTCTCACCATCTTGTTGGTTTGATCCATAACCGGGAGTTTCATCTCGAGATGACGATAATCTTGAAGGGTTTGCTCTACAAGCTTCCTCAGCCTCGTGTTCTCTTCTTTCACATGTTCCATCTCGATCTGCATCTGCAAGAGCTGATCTCCATCCATGGATGTTAACATATGTGTATGTTTCTGATGTATGTTTAGACGTTTCGTATACGTACCTCTTCACGTTCGTTTTCTTCTTTTTGGGTTCTCGAACCTAAACAAGATTCGTCGACATCGTCTTCTTTCACCATTTGTTCATCTTCATCATCACTAGCGTCATCATCTTCTTGTAATTCTTTTTTTCTCTCACAGCTTTGTTTTGATATTTCTTCATGTTTCTCTTTCTCCAGCTTTAGAGAAAGATTGATGTCCATCATGGAGATGCAAATCAAACCTCTGTATCTGTTTGTTAGATTTGGATTTTGAAGTGCTAAAGTCAAATCCCATTTTCTGATCAGAATTTCGTTTACTATTTGTATTATTCACTCTAGTACGCATCTAAAGCTCTGACTTTCTTTAAATAATCAGTTTGTCTTTAAGATCAAACCAACCAATGTTAAATTAATAAAGCGCTTAGTAACCGGAGTTACTATAGTCGATAGAATCATGAATAAATTAGATGCAGTTTCTTTAAAAATTGGAAAGTATATTATATATATATATATATATATATGTTGTCAATATTTGGGCATTAGGGTCCGGGAAATTTCCCGTCACATGTATGGTACCATGTGAAATGCATCAACGTGTATAATTTTTTGATTTTTTCAATTGGTCATAGATGTGTTTATTACCACATGCGTTATTTGTTTTGAATAAGAACATGCATACTTTTGCATAGTTGTAGTGTTATAAAGATCGAATACTATAAAATAAAATGAAACATGGTGAGATCAAAACATACCATTACCAATACCATAGTCCTTTTTCTCAATTCAACACCAGAAGTCTAAAAACCAAAGCTTCCATATTCCATAGTTTACATAAATGCAGTCAATAAATCTTGAAATTTTCCTCTCGAGGTTTTTTTGAAATTTTCAACATATATTTTCTTAAAGTCAAAATTATGGTGTTATGAAATTGTATTGCGCGCGCAGCCCTCATGCTACATATACGCGTTAGGGGGAGTGAGGATAATTAATTACGATCATTGTGCAACTTGTTAAGAAAAGTCAATTCATGTAAATGATACACAAAGTGGGTATCAAAAGACACTTCCAAAAATCATGTTAATATCGTTTTAATTTTTGTTTCTCGAACTGTGTATAGTTTTCATAGAAATATACCTAACGGGTGTTAATTTCTCCCCAAAAAATTTTGTCAATATTCGACTACCTAACCTAAGATGTTTACTTTCTTATTTTCGATCAGTTGAAGTTAATAGGTTTGGTTTTAATTCATATATATGTATGAGATATATGAAGTTGAGCTTGTAGGACTCTTTTAAACTTTGTACGTGTCGGTGCATATTTGATGGCGAGAACGTCGTATTGTATGACTTATTTAATCAGTAAACTATATGTGTTATATGATATAGACAAAGGTCATTATCGTAAAGCCTTGTGCTAAATATTTAAAGTCATGTCATTTTATTTAGTTAGAGCAACTCGAACCATAAATTTCTAATCTTGGTTTCTAAATAGTTTTTTATTAATATAACTAAAAAAATAAAAATATAATTTTTAAAAACAATAGAATTAAACAAATGATATATGAACACATTATCTTTTTAGATGAGAACCATGTTCTAAAAATTCTCTAACAGAACCTCATTCTTTCTCTCTTTGATTATTTTTTATCTTTTAATGTTTAGAAACTTTCTTTAGAAACTCTATTGGAGATGGTTTTAGTGCGCTAAAATGATCATATCATTATTATTATTATGCTAATTCTTAACGTGAAATTCAAATTAATTACCAATTACTAAATTCGTATGAAAAAATCAGAACAAGCTACTTGCATTGGGATCGGATCTTAAATAGTCAACCAGAAGACTTTCAATTTTAATTATATAAACTTATTTTTCTTGCCAAAATTTTTTAGGCTCTATGTGGTCCATAATATATTAATATTGCCATATTGGTAGACACATAACAACTTAACAAGTTATAACAAAGTCACCAACTTAATTAATGAATAAATGTGTGTTCGTTATTTACTTGACATTTCAACTCCAGCAAAGTGTCCACATGACACTTTTAAGTAGTTAAACTTTCGTCAACCGTTTTCATAACCAGAATAAAACTTTTAACGGAATCATTTTTACAAAGAAAATTAAAGAGAATATAAATTGTATTTAAATACATAAAAGAAAATTTTACTTTATCATTATTTTTAACACATAAAAGTCATATTTCAATTTTCTTACAAATATGTATGTAAATACAAATATTAATTTTGCAAAAGTTAAATTCGAATGCAAACTTGTCGTGCATACATTTTGTTAACCTCAATTATACTCTAATTTTAATTTTAATCGTTAGAGAATTTATATTTTTTAAAAATATTTATATGTCCTAAGAGCAGTGAGGTGGTTGGTAACGAATGTGCGGACCAACCATCTACCTGCTTTTAGAATAAATAAATATGGTACAATTTATTTTGGTTTAATTAGCAATATGTTAAGGAAAAATATATACTTAAAATATATATTGGTAATATTATATTATGTAAAGAGAAAAAGAAAGTATTATATAGATGATATTCAAACATATTATAAGAATTTATTTATTATTTAATATAACTTTTGCATTTGCAATTATATATTACTGTAAACGCTAGGAAGAATAAAAAGTTTTCAAAAGATACAAAATGATATGAAACGTTTGTGTGATTGTTGTTGCACACTAAAATTGTATATGTATAAAAACATGACTTTACATAATATATAAGAAAATTAATCAATACTTGAATATTACACGTCTATTAAAAAACTATACTTGTACATCTGTACGGACCAAAAATAAAAATTAAATAAATTATTACATATTTTAATATTTTCTTTTTTATTTAGTTATTATATTTACATTTTTATTCAAAAAAAATTTTCAAATCTTAGTTAATATTTTTTATCTTCATTTTCTATTGAAATATATAATATTTTATATCTAATTTATCGTTATTTTTATTATTTTATTATTATTACATAATTAATCAAATACAAATAAATAAAAAATTCAATATCATATTAATCATATTATTGAACATATAAAATATTTTATAACTTGTATACGGTATAGACCGATCACCTAGTTTTAATTATATAAACTTATTTCTCTTACCAAAAACTTTTAGGTTCTATGTGGTCCATAATATTGCCATATTGGTAGAGACATAACAAGTTATATATAGTCATATCTCTCTTGCGCCGAATCAAAACTGGTGACTTTGTTATAAACTCAATTAGTGAGTAAATGTGTAATGGTTTTTTACTTGACATTTCAACTCCAGTGCATTGTGTCCACATGACACTATTAAGTAGTTAAACTTTAGTCAACCGTTTTCATAACCAGAATGTAACTTTTAACGGAAACATCATTTTCAAAGAAAAAGTGAATAAAAATTGTATAACCAAACACCGTGCTGTAATTTGAATCAAGTTGTGCATGTGCATTTCAGCACAACAATATACATGATGATCCATCCATGTGTTTCATAAGCGAGAAATCAGTTAGTTATGCATGCGTTAAAACAAAAATAAGCATGTGTTTTATTTACCTTACCAAAAGAGAACTTTTTGTTGATAAAGATACATAAATTTTATAATATAAAGTATGGTAATTACAGATATGATCACATTTTGGCAGAGGAAACGTGGGACAAGGGAGTAAGCGGCGCCGCAGCCATATCTTCCGTTGGAATTTTATATATAATAATCACAAACAAAGGAAAAGGTCAAATTGTATCGCATATTGTGATTGTGATCTCTTCTCTCATTTTACATCTGTTGTTTACCTAAGTCAACCTTTTAATTGAAATCCCATCTTTGTAGTGATTCACATTTCTTTATCTTTAAAGTGTTAAGAAAGTATATTGTCATATTATTGAAAATTATCAAGGATCTAGCTTCTAGATCAGGTCAACGTAGGGTATGTATATATATATATATGACTCTGTATTAACAAATGTGTATTTTCTCGTTAATTCACTAAAAGTATTTACAATATATATATATATACTCGAGATTAAACTAAAGGAAACTTAACCAAGAGGGTAAATCAACTAACTAAACCGTATCTAACTAACTGTATATCCTAATACATCCCCCTCAAGTCTCTGAAATCAAACCCAGTTTTAGAAGAAAGAGACTTGAAATAGACATACGAGCAAGAAGGGAGTGAAAAGGACTCGGATGCAACGCCTTCGTCAAGATATCGGCATGTTGATTCATACTGGATACATGAAAGAGCCATAGGAAACCATTCTTGACCTGATCCCGAACAGTGTGGCAGTCGATTTCTATGTGCTTAGTCCTCTCATGAAAGACAGGGTTGGTAGCAATATGAAGAGCCGATTTATTATCACAAAAGAGTTTTGCAGAAGTACAAACCCTGATCTTCATATCTCGGAGAAGTTGACTAAGCCACAAGAGTTCACAAGTAGCCAAAGCCATACTGCGATACTCAGCCTCTGTACTGCTGCGACTAACCGTCTGCTGCTTCTTTGATTTCCAGGTAATCAAAGACTTGCCCAAGTAAACGCAGAAGCCGGTGATCGATCGGCGAGAGTCAGGACAAGTAGCCCAGTCTGCATCAGCAAAAGCATTAAGGCAGAGCTCATTATCGGCAGCATAAAACAGACCTTGACCCGGATGAGACTTCAAGTAGCGGAGAACACGATGAGCAGCTTGGAGATGAACATCAGTGGGATGAGATAATAACTGACTCAAAGTGTTCACGGCATAGGTAATATCGGGTCTGGTAATAGTGAGGTAGAGAAGTCTCCCAATAAGCTCGCGATAAGGCGTAACATCATCAAGAAGAGTCCCAGAGTCACGACGCAGCTTAATAGTAGGATCCATGGGAACAGTACAAGGCTTGCAAGCAAGCATCCCAGTAGCAGCGAGGATATCCAAGGCGTACTTTCGTTGACAAACAGAGATGCCAGTAGAGTTACGAGCAATCTCAAGACCCAGAAAAAACTTTGGGGCGCCCATATCCTTGATCTGAAAAGCACTGTGAAGAGCAGTCTTCAAGGCCTGCAACTCAGCATCACTATTGGAAGCAATTAGTATGTCATCAACATAAACCAATAGGAGGATGAAAGCAGAACCAGAGAGGCGCACAAACAAAGTGTTATCAGCAGGAGACTGCTCAAATCCAGCGTTCAAAACCATCGTTGAAAAGCATTGATACCACTGGCGAGATGCTTGTTTTAA